GTAAGAGAGCGGCGAAGGGATGGGGGGGATGGGCAGGTATATGGGGGTGGGGCTGGCCAGTTAGGCACTGGAGTCCCAAGATCTAGCACAGGCACCCACCTGATACACGTACCTCAAAACCCATACTAAACCACAACATAAAAGTGAGAAAATCCAATAAAGGTCTATTTCTTTTCCCCACCGCGACTACTCTGAATCATTTTTGGAAACCGAAAATATCAAATTCTTTCCCCAAATGCTTTTCACGGTCCTTTGGTGGCGCAGGGCTCGGCCTGTCCTCACGGTGGAGAAAAGAGGCTGCGTGCAGGTCTCCGGACGGACGGACTGAGGTTCCCGCCCGGCTCGGGCCACTTACCCTCCGTGACTTTGTGCATCGTGGCCTGTCGCCACCCTCCAGACAGCAATGCTGGGAGGCTTAGAGGATGGGCAGGTGGCCCCCCACCCATCCTGAAGGTCACTCACCCCCACTGCCAGTGGCCTGTGGGCCTCTGAGCATGAGGCAGTTCTCGTGAACCAGGCACGTACAGCCCTCACAGCCTCCGCTGCCAGAACTCATATCTTTCCCCCTCAAGACTCTGCCACCAGAGGTCAGAGACCATAGTTCAGCTCTATCTCACGCCCCGCCCCACGAAGGCCCCTGGATGTGCCTTGGGAACTTGCGATAACAACCACAGTGCCTGGCGGTGCCTCCCGACCCTGTTCTGCTGGCTCGAGTCTTTGGGCCTAAGCATCACCCGCAGAGTGGGGATGGGCAGGCTGATGATCTACTCAGAGCCGATCGCTGTGCTGAGGGAGGGGGAGCCTTCCAGAAATGTGCTCTGAGCAGGGAGCCTGGTTCCAGAGAGATCTACAGTTCAGGGGGCCCGGGGGATAAACACACATTCTGGGCTGAAAAACATGAGGACCACAAAGGGCTTCTAGGCCCAGAAATGAGGGGCGGCCAGGGGGTGTCGAGAGCCCAGGCTCTGGGGTCACGGAACCCTGGGTTCCAGCCCCGGCCAGCTCCACCATTCCCCAGCTCTGTGACCTTGGGCCAGTTACCTTATCTTATAGCACCCCTAACAGCCTCGTCTGCAAAGTAGGAATGATAAAGGATGCTTGTGGGGATCTTATGAGGTCATGCAATGCATGTGAAGGTCTCAGGCCAGTGCATGCATTGTATAAGTGCATAAGGGGCAGCTAGTAACTAAAAACAAAAACTCAGAGGGCTGGCCTTCAGGAACCTATAGCCAACAGGGCAATGTGGGCTCCCATCTTGCCACTCGCCAATTCCCCCTGGAATTTTATAACTTGAGGACAAAAATCCCCCCTTGTCCCCAGCACCCCCACTCACCCACGGGGCAGCAGTAACAGCACCTACCGGCAGTTTTGTGATGGTGGCCAGGGTCTCCAGCATAGACGTCCCTCAGAACTCGATCCTGGAGGACGGGATAAATTGGTGAGACCGGGCCGGTCCCAGACACGCATCCTCTCTCCTGCCCCTCAGGTCCCAGGAGGCCTGGTCTCCACTCATTGTCAAGGCCAGGCCTGAGACACAGCCTCAAGTTTTAGAAGGCAATCGGGACAGAAATAACCGATTTCACATCTGCCTCAAATGCACCCCAGCTGGGGGGGCGGGTGATGGCAACTCCAGCCTTCCATAACTCAGCCCCAAACCTGGGGTCTCCCCTGACTCGCTCTTCTCATGCTCACATTCAACCCAGCAGCAAACTCTCTCCCTCTCTCTCTCTCTCTCTCTGCCTCTTTGGACCAATGTCCTCACCTCCTCCACCTGGTCCCAGTCCCCATCCGCTCTCCCCAGCATTAATTAATTCAGTTGCCTCCTACCTGGCCTCTGGCATGGACCCAGCAATACAGATTTCTAGGAAATTTGTTTTTTGAAGTCTCACACGCTTACACAGAAACGTGCACAGACCTCAGATGCATACCCACTGAATTTTTACAGTGTGAACACGTCTTGCAGTCAGCACCCAGATCAAGCCACAGGACATGGGCAACACCCAGCACCCTCCCTCAGGCCTCTCCCATGCACTACACACAAAAGGTGCCCGCTAACCCAGCTCCTACGCCATTGATTTGTTTGGTCACCTTTGGAGCTTGACGTAGGATAGAATCATTTCTGTTCTCTTGCAACTGGCTTCTTTAACTCAACATCATATTGTGAGACTCACCCACATTGTTGCAGATGGCGGCCATTTATTCAGGTTCATTGCTTTGTAGTACTACATGCACAATGTACTGATCCATTCTATTCTTGATGGCCCTTGGGGTTGTTTCCACTTTTGATTGTTATGAAAAGTTCCACTAGGAGCATTCCTATACATGTATCTTGGTGCACAAATGTATGCATTTCTATTGGATATATACGTAGGGGGCAGAATTGCTGGGTTGTAATGTATGCTCAGCCTTGATAGACTCTTCATACGGTTTTCCAAACTGGACCGACACTTCACTATAGTTTAGAAGTGTTGCAGTCACTCTACATTCTTGTCAACATTTGGTATTACCGTTGGGCTACCAGGGTGGCTTGGTCGGTTAAGCGTCCGACTCTTGATTTCGGCTCAGGTCATGATCTCGAGGTTCTTGAGTTCGAGCCCCACATGGGGCTCTGCACTGACAGTGTGGAGCTTACTTGGGATTCTCTCTCCTTCACTCTGCCCCTCTCTCCTCGCACTCTCTCTCTCTCCTCTCAAAAATAAATAAACATTAAAAAATTAGATTGTCGGGGCGCCTGGGTGGCTCAGTCGGTTAAGCGTCCGACTTCGGCTCAGGTCATGATCTCACGGTCCGTGAGTTCGAGCCCCACGTCGGGCTCTGTGCTGACCGCTCAGAGCCCGGAGCCTGTTTCAGATTCTGTGTCTCCCTCTCTCTCTGACCCTCCCCCATTCATGCTCTGTCTCTCTCTGTCTCAAAAATAAATAGACGTTAAAAAAATTTAAAAAAAAATTAGATTGTCTGACCTTTCTCACTGATGGGTGGGAAATCTTTATATACTCTGAATACAGGCCCTTTGGTATTGGGAAATATCTTCTCCCAATTCTATGGCTTGCCTTTCAATTTCTTAAGGGAGAGTTTTGATGAACAAAAGTTCTTAGTTTTGTTTTTTGATCTTTTTAAGATTTTTATTTTTAAGTAATCTCTACACCCAGGGCACTGGGTGGCTCAGTGGGTTAAGCATCTGACTTCGGCTCAGGTCATGATCTCATGGTTCATGAGTTCAAGCCCCACATCAGGCTCTCTGCTGTCAGTGCAGAACCTGCTTTGGATCCTCTGTCTCCTCTCTCTCTGCCCCTCCCCTGCTCATGTGTGCTCTCTCTCGCTCTCTCTCCCAAAAATAAATAAACATTAAAAAAATTTTAAGTAATCTCTACACCCAGAGTGGGGCTCAAACTCACAACTCTGAGATCGAGTCACCGCCCCCAGAAGTTCTTAGTTTTAATGAGGAACAATTTATCAGTCTTTTCTTTCACGGTTAATGTCCTATGTAAGAAATACTTGCCAGCCCGCTGTCATACAGATGCTCTCCCACATTATCCACTAGATGCTATCGCTTAACCTGCCATACATAGGTTTCATTTTGGCGCATGGTGTGAAGTAGAGGTCAAGACTCGCTTTTTTCTGGAACATGCATTTTTAACAAGTTCCCCATAGGTTTCCAGGGCTCTTTGAAAGTTAAGCCCCTTTGTTAGAGGGGGCCCAAGAGAGGAAATTCTCTGCTGACATCCTGGGGGAGGAACTTTGTCCTGGTAGAATGAAAGCAGGGCAGAAACAAGGTTTCTAGACTTCAGGAAGGGAGGCGGGAGGGAGAGGGGAGAGGGAAGGAGGGAGCTGTGTCCCACCTCTGTATCTGCAGCCTCCCAGATGGTGCCTGCCATCTGGCCTGATGGATGAGGATGAAAGGGCTTTCTTGGATTGGGGCGGCGGGGGGAGCAGAAGCCACAGGGGGAGAGGCCTGGCTGGCCTCAGGGCTTCCCTACTCTCTTGTCCAGCCAAGGGAACAGTGAGAACTAAGAAATATTTCCTTTGTGGTCAGAGAGCAGGAGGAGGCCAGCGTGGCAGGACAGTGGACACGCGGAGCATCGATTACATTTTCCTTGTTTCTTTTTTTTGCACATCTGAAACGTCGCCAGGTACATGGGAAATAACAAATATAACGTGACGTTTGTGCAACACTAGTCACATGGCACTTGTGTGCCTCCTTTCTCATTTAATCCAGAGCCCCAGGCCTTGAGGACCCTCTCTTCACCCACCCACACCCAGCCTCCTCCCTCCAGCAGGATCCCATTCTTCTCAAGGAGAGCGGGGAGCTCCTGGGAGCCTCTCTAGGAAGAGAGACCTGCCAGGACAACCCCGGTCTGACCCACAGCATTTCACCCAGTGAGCCTGGAAGCCTACAGGTGGGGTGGAGTCGGGTGCGAGGGTTCAGGCCTGCTAGGCCTGCTGAGTGTGGGGAAAATTCTGGGTCTCTGGCCTGGGTTTTCCCCTCCTGGCTGCCTGCTCATCTCATTGATAACTATGGACTCTGGAGGAGATGTAGGTCCAGCCCCTGCTCTGTTTCCAGGGTCTGGGGGGGACAGCTGAAGGGAGCCTGAATTCTTCTTCTTCACTTCCTGCCAATCCTGGGTCAGTGGAAGGGAATAGGGAACCCATGGTATTGCATATCACTGCCCCCCTACTCCCAGTCACCCATCATCACCCCATGTTACAGATGGGGACACTGCAGCTCAGAGAGGTGCAGTCACCCACCCGAGGTCACACAGCAACTAAATGCACAGATGATATTTGAGCTTCACCATATCCCCAGTTCTCTTCCCCTCTCTGGCCCACAGGCTGCCCATCTATAAAAGAAAAACAGTCTACTGTGCTGAGAAGGATATCCTGCCACATCCGTGGTCTTTCTAACAAAACTCCATAATCTGAATCAAATCATGAGGATACATCAGGGACTTTCTATAAAACAACTGGCCTGGACTCTTTGCATGAAAGACAAAGAAGAGTTGTGGAATGTTCCAGAATAGGGAGACTAATGAGACATGGTGGCTGAATGCAATGTCTGCATTGGATTCTGAATCTGGGTGGGGCTATGAAGGAGAATATTGAGATTGCTGATGACATTTGAATACGTACTTTGTATCTGATTCTGTCCTATCAGTGTTGAAAGCCTGAATCTTATAACCTGTTTATCTAAGAGGTATCCTTGTTGTAGAAGAACCTGCTGAAATATTTAGGGGTAAAAATTCAAAATGTCTGCAACGAACTTGCTAATGGTTTAGCAAAAGAAAATGGAAATAGGAAGAAGGAGGAGGAGGAGGAGGCGAAGGAAGAGAGGAAGAGGAAAAGGAAGGAGAAGAAGAGGAGGAGGAGGAGGAGGAGGAGGAGGAGGAGGA